TTATAAATCTAATGCGCGACCATTTCTTTCTTTCTCATTCTCTGAAGCCCTCAAACAAACACAGACATACTCTGCATCAATGAATAATCCTTTCTTTGTTTGCAGTCAGGGAGGCAATTCCCCTAAATGTCACCGATGAACTATGGTCAAAGTCCAGGAAGCCCTAAACCAATTTACGAAAGGCTCCACATCAGTTTTATTCTGCCCTAAAGCCATAGTTGCTCATGATAACAATCTAATTTTTCTACTTTTGGGGTCACACAGTTTTTTCATTCAAAGCCCAAGCAATAATGTATGTAATGTGTTACAAAGCAGTGTACATCTATAAAGTGGAAGCAAAATGATGATTTTTACAAATAGTATATTGTAAAATTGTATTAATTCCTCCTGAATCAGTAATTAGTGAAGCTTCACCTCAATGCTGCTGCATATTTTTGGCGAGATGCCTCTACCAGTTTGCACATTTACAAATTTACATTGAGCTATATTTCTCTCTCCTTGTTGTAAAAGAGGCATAGCCACAGGATGATACTGCCACCACTTTGTTACACTGTGGGCATTTTCTGTTTAAAATGCCTTGTTTTCCACCACACAATAAAGGTGTCTCCATTATAAATATGTGTTCAAATCTTTGTCAATGTCGAAAAACACAATTTTGCAATTGCTGTGTTTAAAGAAGAAACACAATAAATCGAATAAGTTTGTTCACACAATATGTTCTTTAAAAACATGGCGCGGTATTAATCATTTTGTAAGGCACTGATTGATTTGTTATGTATTTTATATCTCCACTTTAAATCCAATCGGTTCTGACAGCATTGTAGCTGTCAACACTGATTGGTTAAACCTTTATATTTTAGAACATTTTAGAACATGTTTGTTGAGTAGCACTGATATGTTAGAGGCAAAAGAACAATATTTGGATCCCAAGATTTCAGCTATAAATAGATTTACAACATCAAATAGAAAATTTTTCGTTTTTACTCTTAGTATTTTATTTTTTTATTCCTGGCATATGAAAGGTTTTCAAGCAAACCAGAGCTTAAGTGAGAAAAATATTTGGGTGGATCAGGACTGCAAAATGTTTGAATTTGAGACAATGGACCTCTGCAAAGTTATTCCCATAAAAACAACATTTTAATGACTGTCTTTACTCTGACAAAAACTGGAGCAGAAATAATTGACTTACTCAAAAGGAAACAAGATTTGCCAGTTTGAACAGGTGCAAACCGGTAATGTTAAAGTGCTTGAGATGTTTATCGAGATCAGATTGTACCCAGGTCTTACTGAGGAGAAGACTCATTAAACCTGACAAGGAACTACATTCATGATGGGCCTGTGAGTTTTTAATAATGAGATTACTTTCTCCAGGAAGCACTGAGACAGCTGGACCAGACTGACTACTTCAGTGACATCGACTGGCAGGAATTATCCCTGATAGTTACACCGCCGTCTTTTCACTGCACCTTCTCCATCAAGATGCAATCATTAAGAGCAACTTCTAACACTACCGATGTAGCCAATAAGCTCTTCTCATTTTTAGTCAAGCATCTGCAGTTATTTCACGATAACATAGTTGTGATTTTTTTTTTTTAGGTGCAGCAAACTCTGTAAACTTATAACTTTATTCCTGTAATTATATTACGTTTTTTATTATTATTATTTTATTTTAGTGTTTTAGCTGCAGTAACACTAAATTATTTTTTGTAAAAAACAAAAACAAATTCATAGTAAAATTAGGCTCCAAATATCTTTAAAGTGTTTTCCAGGATGTAAATCCTCAAGACAAGAAATACCACCATGTTTTAACATAACCAGGCTCATATTATAGACATAGCCCTTGGCATAAATAGGCTTTATTGAAGCAGTGCATTGGAAGATACATTCCACCTTGATTGCAGCACCAAATAGAAATTGAGAAAGATGTGATTTTGTATTCATGGTAAATAGTCAACTTACTCTAACTAACAAAGTTTTTGACAATTTTTGCAGCATAAACAGCCCAAAAATGTCTGGTCTACAAAGGTGAAGGGGTCATGGCAACAGATGCGTGCTCCTTTGATGCGTGCTGAGTCGACCTTTCTCATCACCGAATGAAAAACACAGAAAAAAATGTAGATGTCTAAATTGGAGCAGATGGAGTGTGAGTATCTCCTCGCCGTGCACAGAGAGAAAGAATTTAGATGATAGCCCACAGCTAATCCACTACACACCGAAAACTCATTACTGTTTAAGAAGGTAGCATAAAAACTTGCTCCCCAGGTTGGAAAGAATTACCGTTCTGAAGGTGAAGACCTTGGCACAAGCTGCATAATTTTCCCCACGTGTGAAATTTCTTTTGTGCACAAGTCAGCGGCTTTGACTCGTCTTTAATGATGGAAAGTTGACTGGTGGGGGAACCTGCTGCTTCTCGGATACCCACTAAGGAACCAACAGGCAGTTAAACAACATGATGCACGCCGAGCAGAGAGAGCAGCAACTTCAACTTAGCTGAATTGAGCTTCAGCTCCTTTCACTGTAGCCGATGACAACATTTTTTTTTTTATCTGCAAGTCACTAACACAAACCTGCCAACAACAGCTGTCTAAAGCCTTGGAGATAAGCAATAGCATACCATTCACTAATGCAAAACAGGAAGGCAAAACTTAACATTCAGGAGATATTTCAGTAAAAAAGGCTTTTCAAATTGTCATGTAATTGTGAAAATTAGGTTGTTGTATCTTTTTGAAAGCAGACAACAGCTGTTTTCAATACCAGATTAATTTTAACATCTTGTTAAAAGTATGGACATTACAAGTGCATGCAGCTTCTTTCTAATCCAGTATCATACACGACCAGCGTTTAAACTCGAAAGGAAGTTAAATTTTTGTGATTTAATACATATCCGCAGAGAAGACGTATGGGCCAGCTGTGGCGCCTCTTTGCTGCTCCAGAGCCCAGTGGGAAACTCCTTCAAATTTCCCTAATGCCCCTGTGTCAAAGCCACATCAAACTGTGGCTTCAAAAAACAGCTGCTTTACTCTTTCTGACTTCTCATGACAAAAAAATTTTCAAGTTATTTGAAATATTTTGGAGTAATAACTGAAAAGGGCTTCAGTTTGGAAGATGGTGGAGTTGCAGTGCCTTGCAAAAGTGTTCAAGCACATTCATTGTTTTTACAATTGTAATGCATTTCATTGGGATTTTATGTGATGGATTAACCCAATGTAAAGTTTCAAAGTTTTTCAGAATGGAAATTAAGTAATCAGTGGTATTTGGTGCAACAACTTGCTTTAATCTCCATATAGAGACCATCTGTTTGCCATTTGCTTTCAGCCCAGAAAGTCTTCAGAGATTTGTCAGGAAAAAGCTTCATAATGAACAATGAACAGTGCAGATAAAGTTAAGGAGAAATTTAAAGCAGCACCACAAGTTTTACAAACTTTGAATGTATCACAGATCAGTAGTCAATCCATCATCTGCAAATAGAGAGAGCCAATGACTCTGGAGGAGATGTAGAGATCTAAAGCTCAGGTATGTGAATTTGCCGACATGCCAGCATTTAGTTGTGAACTCCACAAATCTGAGTTTTATGAGAAAGTAGCAAAAGGAAATACAAGGATGAAAGAAAACCATAAAAATCAGTGAATGCACTTTGTTACGTTACCACAAACATGTCAAAGATTGTCTTTTTGTGAGATGAAACTGAAATTGAAGCTTTTGGGCTACAGAAAAGACACTGTGTGCTGCAGAAAAACAAAACTGCACATCAGATCAAACATTTTTGTGCTTCATGGTAGTGGCAGTATAATGCTGTGGGACTGCTATTCTTCAACAGGGACAAGGAAGATGGAAATGGGTCTAGAGATGGAAATTAGCCACTTGGCTACAATCTCATGCATTTACATGTAAATGTTCATATCATCCCATTTAAAAAAAAAAAAAAAAAAAAACGAACTTAAACTAGACCGCATCAATTGAGCCAAATACAGGCAATCCCAGAAGAGGTGTTTTACTTTTTGCAGAAATACAACCCTAAACACAGAGAGAGATACAATAGGATTTACATCTAATAGTATTTTCATTATAATGATTCAGTCAATGTCTTGACCTAAAGCCAATTAAGACTCTTTTGGAAAGACTTGAAAATTGATCTTCACACTCTTCATCCAATTTGACTGAAATTTAGTTATTTGTCACAGAAAAATTGGAAAAAATGTTCTAGACACATAAAGCTGGCAGAGGCATACCACAAAAAACTCACTGAAAAATATCAACCCTGTCAGATGTATTCCCTAAATCCACTTAACATCATTTTCTGTTGTTCTGTCACATAAAAGCTCAAACCACATTGACATGGTTGGTATGAATAGTTGTATTAGTAATATGCAACAGAAACAGTTTTTCTGGAGCCTTTTTGCCTAAACTCGTAGTAAACAGCAAAGAAGATTGGCTTTTCAGATGACAAGTGGGTTGCATTTTCTCCAAACAAACAGTCACCCTGCTGAGACTCTTGCTCCTGTGTGAAAACCTCTTAAAGTCCTTTCACTTTCCACTGCGTCATCCGCATATTCACACAAGAGAAGCAGTTTATATTCCTTCAAAATCCATTAATCTGTTATGAGAATCTCGTGTCCGGGGACTCGCTGCAGCACAAGCAATTAGGAACTCATTCACATTCTTGAATGCTGGAATGAAATTATTGAAGATTAGATTCTGTCTCGATTAACGCCCCCATCGCCGTCTCCTCCTCCTTCAGAGCGAAAGTGTTCACTCAGCATAGAGGGACGAGAGTCACTGCGGCGTCCAGTCAAGACGCACACAGCAGTAATGATGAGACTGTATAGAGCTGCTTCATGAAACACAGAATGGCCACAATGGTTCAGCAACCACAATGGAGAAAGCTCAGGGGCCCCAGGGGCCAAACATGTCTCACGGATCAAGCAGAAGTGGCAAAATAATATATATATATCCAAAAACAATGTATGAAATGAATACCCTTTGAAAAGGTTGGAACTTACCTCCCAACGCTTGTTTCATAACGAAATTCATGATGATGGCTTTGGGTTCCTTGTCTTCCTTGTCTGATCGATGTTACATTAAATTTTTGCACAAAAGTAGAATCCTGCGTTTCCAGATCTAAAAGCAACAACAAAAATAACAATCAGGCTTATTACCAGTTCATGGAAACGTTTTTTCTTTCAAAAATATGTAATTGATATTTCTGACCTCGGATAGTGAAAAAAAAACAAACAGTTTTTGTAACTGGGCTTTAGAGAGCCTTCGTTCGTTGCGCAAATTGAAGGACACGAAGGTCAATTATTCAACAGCATCCTGAATCAGCTGTTATCATGGCTTAATTGTTAATCTTATTTAAAATGTAGTTGAAGCTTCGTTCGGGTTATCACTTCCAATTAGACGAGTTTTAATGAGGCTCCACAGGACGGTCCGTTGTCACGCATGTGGACTAAACCACTCCTGTGTATTTATCAGGATCATGTGGTAAAACTTTCCATCTTCCATTGGAGGGACCCTGGACACAGCCATCCCACTCCGGGAAGAAAAGCTGCTCCTAAACCACGTTAATCAGGCAATATATATTTTTAAGAAATCATACCTGGTGCATGCATTCATTCAAAAAACATCCTGCAAATTCGCTCTCAAAATCAACATTGCAAGACATGCAGATGGCGTAAAAGCACACATGCACTTCCTTGTACGATCAGAGTGGTTTCAGCACCAGCTCTACCCGGATAGCTCCACATGCAAAGCCGCCTATCAGCGCTGAAGCAGCTGCATCAAACATCGCTTTACCTCCGTCAGACAGGTTACGGTCCACCTCAGTGAGCGGGGATCACAGAGCGGGGATCAGGCTGCAACACCAGCGAAGTTCTCCTGCAGCAGGCGGCAGCGGCGCGGGCTAATGACTGCTCGTCCCTTGCATCTCCGGCTCCAGGGGCTCGGGAAAAAAAAAAAAAAGAAAAAAGAAAAAAGGACGTCCTTGGTGCTTCCTCCTGCTCTCCGATTCGTCTGCACACACACTCACAAAAACACACGTAGGAAGAGAGAGAGGAGAGGAGGAGGAGGAAGAAGTGAAGTGGAGGGGAGTGGAGGTGGTGGTGGTTTGCAGCCGTTTACACCGTGATGGGACCGTATCACATGCAGAGAGAAGCGTCCCACCATCGTCCTCCTGACCGACACAGAGAGATCAATTATTCAGCCCGGAGGCAGGCTGCCTGCTTCATTTCTGCAGCGAGAAGATGCAATCGGTTTATAGGCCACCTTTAAAATTCAGACTGTGGGAGAACATGTTGGCGTCTCTTGCTTTTTCAGTGCGTCTATTCGATTCGCTCCCAGCTGGAGCTACTAAAGAAAAAATACACAATGTTCCAGTTGGGTGTCTTTAATGTTGCAATGAAGAGATCTGCTGTGTTAGTGCTGTTTTATACCATTCGGTGTTAAATTCAGATTACATCCCATAGCGCCATATTCGGGAAAGACAGAGAAAAAAAATAACATTTTCTGTCAGATTCACCTAAAAAGAGGCATTCAGGACTCCCAACGTTCTTACACAAAAAAGGAACAAGGAGGATTTGACCACTAATAAAGAAGTCATCATTTAGACCTAATTATCCAAACACCATTATATAACCCTCTGCACTTTGTACATGAGTATAGTCACAGCTAAAAACATGCATGTAGGGAGATATCAGAAAACATACTCTAAATAAGTAGAGTTTCTAATGTTTTCCAGAAAGGTGACCCTAGTCTTTCAACTATTTTGACCTTGTATAGGTCCTACATAAGAACTAACCAAGTCCCAACAAGATCCTGTGGTTACATACACTTCTACTCCTATTTTTAAATGCACACTTCATTGGAAAGGACACATTAGCATTGTTTCTTTCCAGTATGCAGAATACAACTTCAATTACTTTGTTTTTAAAAAGCAAAGTAATTGATTTTTTTTCATGATTCTCTGTAATTCATAGAGTCAGAATTATGTGTTATGATATTTTATAGAACAATCCCATAACTGTTACCTTTACTTCTAAATTTTGACATAATTTAAGACCTTGAAACTGGCCCTCGGACTCTTAAAAAAAAAATCTCATCTTCAGGAAGTCATCAGAACAGCGCTCCTCTATTGTCCCTTTAAAAATATTTTAGCACTGAGAAGTACCTCAGCATATGTTGGCTAATTGCTGCTGGCTAGTCTAAAGGAGATAGTTTTGCAAGTGTTGCACTGGGAGGCAGAAGCTTGGAAAGTTAAAAACTGCTGGTCTGAGGGGGAGGTGTGTCTCGATGATGGCACTAAGTCCAACCAGATGGTTTGCACAGATGAATGGTTGCCATGGAGATTAAATAATTTGTCAAACATGTATGTTTTTGATGAGGGAGCATGTAACATGACAAAGCTCAAAAGAGTAAATTTTTCACAACACTGCTCCTTTAAACATAATGCTTCAAATATGTGCAGCCCAGTGGTAAACTGAGGTTACTGCAATGTCAGTATGATAAGGTTAATAGAAATCTTACATAGTACAAGATAAGACACAAATATATTAAAAGTAAATGTTTATTTACTAATGCATAACATTGTTGACAGCTATGGATTTCACATTATTGTTTCTGAAAGAAATACACTAGTATTTTCCTTTACTTTAATATTTAAATAATATAAAGGGTAAAGATAGCTATTAAGTAATTACCTTACCTGGTAATTAAAATTTTATTGTTTGTAAATCAACTAAGAGCATTCTTTCATGTAAATATTGCAATTGAAAGAAGTATTAGTGTGACGTAAGCTGCACTGTGTATTTGATTTGGCTTTGCCATTTGATTGGTCACTGAGACAGTCCGTCCAGTGCGTGACTTGTGATTGGTCGAGAGGAGACGCGAAGGGAAGAAGGAGAGGAGAACCGTGATGGTGGTAAACGGAAGGTGAGACGTGCGGACAAGAAGTAAAAAAATACAGACTTAAGGGAGAGAAAACCGGACAAAAGCACGGAAGAGGACAAAATTCGAGAGAAGTTGGAGGAGCTTGGTTGACGCGAGATGGACGGGACGAGAGGAGACAGACGCAAGTAGTCCTGACAAGCTTTGAGCTGAGCTAAGTGAGCTAGCCGCTTTAGCTCCACGTATTCTGCTGCGTTCAATGGAAGTTGGGAGGAGAGGATGAGTTAATTGCAACGCTCTCAATGTATTTTCTTCGTGAATTACAACGCTCTCAATGTTTTCCTCGTGAACTGCAACGCTCTCAATGTTTTCTTCTGGGATTTCAACTCGCTTTTTGTAACAGGCCTGCAACGTTTTTCTACTCTCTTGGAGGCCGTGAGTAAAAACTGACTTTGTTACATTTGTTTAGGACTGTATATTAATGTTATATTTCTTGTTGTACCCTGGTTGAAGGGAAAAGGTGGCCATTGATATTGTATTTGTTATTTGGTTCTTTAAATCTTAAGAGTTTTTCGGCTTTGAAGTTCATCGTGGTGACTAAATAATTAGATTCCTGTCACTTTAGTTTAATAAAGGCAGGCTGAATAATTTTGCCTGAAATTCTATTGAATTGTTAACTTCTGAGTAAAAAGCTGAAAAGCATTTTTGAATTTATTGAATCAAATTAATCATGACACAATCATGACACATCCTTGTCTCATTCAGGACATGTATAAAACATTTAAAAAATATTTATTCTAATATGAGGTTTTTTGATAGTTAATATTCCACAGACCTGTGTCTAAATTCTACCTCTGGTCACAAAGAACAACACTTTCTTTGCAGATTCTTGAAAAAGTTTTAAGCTGAAGTAACTCATCTGTCCAAGCTCTGTTATTTCTGAATTTAGTTCACACTTGCACCTCAAAACTGACCTACAATAATAACTGTGGAAACTCCACTTGATAAAGGAGCAACAGTACCATGACCTCACTTTTTCCTAAGTGTGTTGAGGTTGTGAGGACAGCGTGGAAGAGCTGAAGCAAACACACATAGTCACAGACATTCACGTCATGCACATACACAATTTCAATTAGGCACCAGATTCACCCTCTGACACTGAAAACTTCAAAAAAAAAAAAGAAATTAAAGTACTTTTATTAAGCAAAAGGAAATTGCACATTTAAAAGTAAATGTTTTCATTTGAATCACCTGTGGTGCACAATTATTTGTTTTCTCTTGAAATCTATTTAAAGTAAAAGTATTCAATTGGATACTTAATCTTTTTTTCATTTTAAGTGTTTATAGGAATATCTAATGAATTTAATCAGCTAAACTTAATGTAAATTAGAAAAATGCAGTAAGACCAATTACATCTATAAGGCAGACTATTTCTAAGGTATCTATTTACCTGTTTTGTTTTATTTTATCACAGTTGAAGATAATGTTATTAACCTAGTACAGATATACATTTATTGTGTTTGGGGAGCCTTGTTGACTCTATGAAAAAGGCTGCCTAAAACACTGCCATGCTGAGCCCTTTAAGGGACAGAGTTTAGAGTACCGGTGAGCAGCATGCAGACGAAGAAAGGGAGAGAAGGAAAAAAGGAGCTGTAAAGTTCTAATGTTCACATTCTGTATCATCTAACTTGCTGTCTGCAGTTTGTTGTCACCTTCCTTTGATGGCTGTGTGTGGAAATGCAAGTAAGTAATGTTAGAAGTTAAGGATATTGTTTATTTAGCTGAATATTTCAGTTTTGAATCCAATTATCTTGACACTTTCTGCGTCCAGTTAGTCGTGGTACGACACAATGACAAG